TGATTCTATGCATCCAATCAGCCATCACGTGTCTTGATTCAAATTTCAAATTTTGGAGAGGACGAGATCATCTTCATGTTTCTATGCTCTCGCTCACAAGATTCTATGCTTAGATGGAAGCATGAAACTCTATATCTTAAGGTGCAAATTTATGAATTTTAAATTTTTTTTAAAAATTATTCATAATGGATCTTGGACTGTGCATAAAAATATCAGGAGTTCAATGGTGAAAACCGTTTTTGAATCAGATGTTTCACTGAGAAATTAAAATGAAAAAACAAAAGTGATTATATTGGATACATGCATGCATGCATGCATCAGCTTTGTCAGGTTGTGTCAGCCGAAACGTCCCGCTCGTGGAGATGTTTCTATGCGGTAACAAATTAATTTTAATTGATCCAACGACTAATTTCTATGCAACATCGTGATAAAGCCCTTTCTGCGCAGCTTGATCTGGGATTTTATGCATCCGATCTGCTGGGTCTGTAGCGGTGCGTCACTTGTGCGCGCGTGTCAGCACCGTGGACCTAAATGGTTGGGCTGACTAGGGGGCTGGCTGGGGCTCTCTATTAGCTATTTAGAGCCCGGGGCTCCCAATTTTTGTCTTGCAGCATGTTCTAAGCCAGATTGTTTGTCATCTTTGCTCCAAATGTGCTATCATTCAATACATATTTCATAATATTTTTTGCGACCGACATATTTCATAATAGTGCGACATAATTTGTAAGGAGGCAGTTAACGCGCGACGGGTCGCCCGTTCCGGGAGCGCGTGACCCCATCGTCTACCTCGCGTCCGCCTCGTCTGCCGCCTCTGTCTCCCTCCCTGTGCTCGTCCTCCGCCACCCCCTGCCTCACCGTCATACTCGACCTCGCTGAACTCGCCCCTGCCCCGCCGCGGCGCGCTAGGGCTCGTCGGAGCTTCGACGAGCTAGGGCCCTAGCTCCTCGGAGCTCCGGCGAGCCCTAGCCGCCGCGACGGCTGCCTTCTTCCCCTTCCCCCCTCTCGCCAGAGATCCACCATGGCCAGCGAGCTCCGAGCTCCGGCCATGGCGCCCCAGCCCCTCCCTGGCTTGGCCACCGCGGGCACCGCCAGGGCCCCTAAGCCGCCCAGCCTCCTTCCCCAAAGCGGGGCCGGCTTTCCTCCCACCGGCCGGCCGGGCCCTTCTAAGCCCGCCGGATTTGGTGAAGAAAGGTGGGGAACCCTAGCCGGAGTTGGAGAAGAAGGCTGAGGCATGGGTGTGGTCGCGTGGAGAAGGAGGAGGAGGCCTACCTTGCCGGTGCGCCGCCGCCGCCGCCACCGCCGCCGCCGGAGGAGGAGGAGGAGGAGGAGGAGGGGAGGGAGGGAGGGAGGAGCTCGGTACCAGGCGCGTGGGAGAGGGAGAGTCCGCGCTCGCGTGGGAGAGGGTGTGGGTCGCGCCGTCGCGGAGAGCGCGACGGGTCGCATAGTAGAGATTTCGAATTTGTAAGTAGAAATTTGGTGTCAAGTGCATCGTTCCTATTCCTGGTACGGGTAGAGAATGGGCAACTTCATGCTACTATTTGCTTGTTGGCCAGATAGGTTTGTAGAATGTCTGTATCACGCATATGAATGTAGATACGCGATGATTTTAGGCCCAAACGGTGGTGGGCCACATAACATGAGCCCAGAACGTGAGTTGTTTTGCCAGTTGCTGTCTGTCTTCTCCTTCGTCTTCAGCGCAACTTCATCAAGCACTGCTGCCGCACACCAGCTGAGATCTGAGCCACAGTCCAAGCGAGATCGAGGGGTAGGGGTTCCACCGGCGTTGAGGTCTGGCGGCGGCCAGATCTCACCATATTGGTGGATTGATGTTGAGGTCTGCAAGAATTTGTTTTCATTTTCATTCTCTGTTTCATATTTAGTTTAGTTCCTAATTTTATATGACCGTATAAGATTCAGATAATTCTAAGCAAGGAGTGAAAAGATGGAGCATGATTTTAGAAAAAATATATAACTAGTTTCATATTTTTCTAAGTAAAAATAATTTTTTTAATATTAAACCATAATTGAGTATTTGTTAATGCATATTTATTCTAGAAAATAATGTGGATATTTTTTTGAAAATTATCCCTATATTTTTTTATAAAATCTAATTGATTTCCCTGAACTATCGTGAGAATCCGATTTACCCACCTTGTTGCTGACATGACGTCACCACGTCAGCTAAAACCGCTTAGATTGGTAAAATAGACTATTGCAAGAGTTAAAAAAGTATAAAAAGAAAAGTTTTCTAATCGAGGGGCGTAAATCGGTCTCACGCAACAGTTGAGGAGCTCAGATTAACTTTTTCCCATCGAAAAAGGGCACAAACTGTTCACACCCAAAATCAAGGCTCAATTAGGCAACTGGGCCAGTTTTGAGTGTCGACAAAACCTTCTGTGGGCCACCTTAAGATTGGGGCTGAAGCTGTGTTCCCTTTTCAAGGAAAAAGTCTACATAACCTCCAACTATTTAAGGTAGACTATTTCAACCCCAAACTATAAAACCGGATTTTCTACCATCTGAACTTTCTAAAACCGGTCAAATAACCCCAAAACGGTTTTGGACGGTGGTTTTGCTGCCGGGACGGTGGTTGTCTTTTTCTTTTTTATTTATTTTCGCTGAATCTTTGAAAAATCATAGTAAATCACAGAAAACTTATACAATGGAAAGTCCATTTTTTTTGACTCCACATGAGTAGATCTACACAGTGAACATATAATATGGTATGCTTTAGTATAAAGTTTTTGCTGTAGCTTTATATCGTTGCTTTTCTGTAATTAATTAAAATAATTCATAGCTGCAGTTTCTACGATCCAATTGTTGTGAAATTTTTATGGTGGGCTAATTATTGTATGCTTGAACTGTAGTAAAAATTTCGTACTCATTGAATCATGTATAACTTAGTTATAATTTTATTTAGGTTTATGCTTGTAAAATCTATGCTTTTATCTATAACTAAGTTATACGTGATCAATGAGTATGAAATTTTTACTATAATTCATGCATACAATAATTACCCCACCATAAAAATTTCACCATAATTGGATCATAGAAGCTGCAGCTATGAATTATTTCATTTAATTACAGAAAAGCATAGATCTAAAGCTACAACAAAAACTTTGTACTAAAGAGTACCATATTATATGTTCACTGTGTAGATCTATTCATGTGGAGTCCAATGTAATTGAATTTTCTATTTTATGATTTTTCTATGATTTACTATGATTTTTCAAAGATTCAGCAAAAATAAATAATAAAAAAAGACAAAACCACCGTCACTGTAGTAAAACCACCGTCCAAAACCGTTTGGGTGTGTTGTTTGATCGGTTTTGAAAAGTTTGGGAATATAAAATCCGATTTTATAGTTTGAGGGATAAAATAGTCTACTCTAAATAGTTAGGGGTTATATAGACCTTTTCCTTTGCAATTTCCACGAGTTGGTTGAAGCAGCTGCGGTGGCTGGCAGCCGAGAAATAGTACCGCAGCTGCCACGACAAGCTGATCCGAACACTCCTCACATGCTCACATAAAGGTCAGAAAAGACGCCGACGGGTCAAACCGTCAAAGTCAGACGCTTAGCCTCCAAGATTCCACATCAGTCGTCGTCACAGGGCTATGATACATGGATTAGTTTACTTCTAGATTCTCTCACTAAGGGTGGAGCCAGAAATTATACAGAGGTGGTGGCCGAAAAAAACAACCTGTAAAAATTGAGTGCCGCTCAACCGATTATGTTTTTCATAATGATCATCTTAGTTAATTCATGGACTAGACACGGTCGCTCTTATTTTTTATATGTATTCTAGAATCTAAGGACCTATTCTTTCGGTGGTAGACGACATATCCATTGAAGCAACAAGGCTCTACGGTGACTTTATAAATCTTAGTCTTTCGGAGATCTACCGGTTTAGTCTTTCAGGGATCTACCGGTTTAGTCTTTCGAATGTGTTCATAGGGATGATCTAGTTGTGTTTTGTTTGATTTTATTATCTACTTCCTCCGTCCCATAAAAAGTGTTGCTATAGAATTCGTGTGGTTTAAGTTTGACTAGGTCTATAGAAAATATTAGTAATATTTATATCTCTAAATAAGTTTAATATATAAATATATTTAACGATATATCTAATGATACTAATTATGTACCATAAACATTAATATTTTCTTATATATTTGGTCAAAGCTGAAAATATTTGACTTTTAAAAAGTGAGAACTACACTTTTTATTGGACGAAAGAAGTAGAAGATATTAATAGGTATATATGACAATAATTTATTGTATCCTTCCACTAAATATAAATAAAAAATTATAAGATTATACTAATAAAAATACTTCTTGTCACATGTTTTTTGTGTGTGTGGTGGGGGGGGGGGGCACTACCCTGACCGCAGAGCTCCGGTGAAACCCTATCGCGCCTGTGGCGGCCTCCTTCCCCCTCTCCCCGCCGCCATGGCCATTCTTCGTCCTAGCCCCAACTTGGCCTAGTTGCCCGCTCCGTCGGCGTCACCGCCGCATCCACCTCGTCGCTGTCTCTCTCGTCCCCACCGCCTGGCCTGCCTGCCTCCTCAAAACTCTTTTTTTTAGATGTCGGAAATGGGGAAGAAGAGAGGGAGAGCTTGGGAGCAGGGTCGCGTTAGAGCGTGACGAGTCGCGGGATAGAGTTTGCGTAAAACTATGCAATCAATCTAGGAAGAAATAAACTACTCAAAAAGTTATTTGAGTAATTAACCATGGAAGTCATAACACGTTATGCAGGTATGCTTTGCCAATGTCGTTATATTACTATGGCCTCTAAGACACAACATCTTCCTATGCTGCCATATTCCTAAATATAATCCAGAGATGTTCACGTAGTTCAAGCAACAGCAGTGACATGTTCAAAACTGACTCAACTGAAAATCCAGAGATCAGGCAGAAATTTTGCACTTTATTTTTGGCATGGCCACATTGTTAACTACGTACAGCTTACAAGTTCACCCCTGCGTGACAAATTATGTACAGCTTACAAAGGAGGAATGCTTTGTGCATTGTTGAACACATTGCCGGGGTCCACCGCCGTCTTTGCCCTGACCAACCGGTCGAAATTGTCCCCGAAGTAGGCGGCGCCCCACGAGGAGCGCGCGCGCGCCACCGCCGCCTCCGACGACCCTTCCGCGGGGGCTGTCCAGTTGTCGGCGCCGAGGTCGAGGTCCAGGTAGTTGACGTACGCGGCCCGGGGGTCCTTGGACACGTGGGGCGCCATGAACGCGTAGAGCGACCGGAGCCACCCCACGCAGTACTCGCCGGCGGCGGCGGCGCGGCCACCGAGGTCGTCGTCCCAGTACACCTGGTACTGCACGCCGTACAGGGTCCCGGCGCGGTGGGGGCACGGCGTGTCGCCGCTCCCGATCCGGGCCATGGCGCCGCCGTAGGGGTCCAGGATCACGTACCCGCCCCCCTGCCCCTGCCCCTGCCGCGGCGGGCCCGTGGAGAGGTACCGGACGATGCCCGCCATGGCGCGCCGCGAGATCGGCGACCGCACGTAGTCGGACTTGCCCTTGGAGTACTGCTTCGACCCCAGCAGGCGGTTCGGAAGGTCGGCCGCCGTGTCGAGGCCGGCGAACTGCGCGGTCGCATCCAGCCAGCTCGTTTCGGCGACCTCTGACTCGGTCAGCCCGAGCTCTGGGAAGCTTTGACGCAGCGCTGACAGGGCACGGTGCTTTGGTCCTAGCACTTGGCCGGAGAACGAGACGGAGACGCTGCCATCCGACGACGACGACGACCCGAGGTCGCCGGTCGGGAGGTACACGGAGAGGTAGAAGTCGTCGGGGAGACTGGGCGCCACGAACTGCCACCTGTGGATCAGCCCGGCGACGAGCTCGACCGGACCGGACCGGCCCACCGAGAAGACGGTGACGTTGCGAGGGACCGGGACGAGCCGGAGCTTCCATGAGTACACCACGCCCCAGCTCCCGCCGCCGCCGCCTCGGATGGCCCAGAACACGTCGGCGCCCATCGTCGTCCGGTCGAGGGCCCTGCCGTCCGCGTCGACGAGCACCGCGTCCAGCACGTTGTCGGCGGCGAGCCCGAACTTGCGCGACAGCAGCCCGAAGCCGCCGCCGGAGACGATGCCGCCCAGGCCGATGGTCGAGCAGGAGCCGGCCGAGAATGCCAGGGACCGGCTGGACCGCCCCACGGCGTAGTACAGCTCGCCCAGCGTCGCGCCGGACTCGGCCCACGCCGTGGCCGAGCCCGCGTCGACGCGAACGCGGTTCAGGTTGGCGAGGTCGATCACCACGAAGGGCACGCGGTTCTCCGTCGTGTACGACAGGCCCTCGTAGCTGTGCCCGCCGCTGCGCACGCGGATCGCCAGCGAGCTGTTCCGCGCGCAGAGGACGGCGCGCTGGAGGTCCTGCTTGGACGCCGGGAGCACCACGGCGGCCGGCTTGCCGACGTCGGGGAGCGCGAACCGGAGGTTGCTGATGGAGGAGTTGAGGATCGCGGCGTAGCTCGGAGACGTCGGGAGGGCGAAGTTGGTGACGCCATGGGAGACGAGGCAGGAGGAGAGGCTTCGTGATGCGCCATCGTCGGCGCCAGCGGCACAGCACGATGTGCTTCGATGGAGTGAAAGGAAGATGATGGAAACCAGGACCAGGAGAGCTGCAATGGAGCAGCTCATGGGGAGAGAGCTGGGAGAGTGAGCTTGAGAGTGAGTGAGAGTGACTTGATGAAGCGTGCAACGAAGACTTCACTGAATGAATGACTCCAGTATTGGAATTGCATATCAGCATAAAGCTCGATCGTGAGGCCATGGAGGTCGCTCTCATGGAAGTGGGTTTGAGCCGTGGTGGCAGCTTCCTGACCAGTTTTCGTGCGAGCGTGTTTGTGTTCAGTGGAGTTCAGAACATGCAGAAGCAAAACACGAGCTGCTAAAAATCTGAACTTGGGAGAGATCGATAGTGGCACAGATCAGACATGCAAATTGCGAGCTGAAATTTTGGGAGAGGTTGTTTGAGCAGTGCTGCTGCATCATCAGCCACACAATAAAACACAAGAACATTCATGTTCTCTGCCTTTCATAGAGTGGCCGGAAGAGGCAGTCGTGCAACAAAAATATTGTATTACTAACTGAAAATTTATTTGTGAACAAGGTTTTAAGGAAGATTTGACCTCAATATATTGGATCTGTGCAGCCCGTGACGCCCGGGCCTCAAGGGCTCAAGGAGGTCACTCTCATGAAAATGGGGGATCATCTCTTTGATTTGAGTGGTTGCGGCTCTCTGCTCCAGGGCTGGCGTGTGCGTGTGCGTATTCAGTGGAGTTCAGAAAAAAAGTTCTGATTTGCATATCCAACATTTCTACCAGACCAGGATATTTGAACCCATATTTGAATGCATATGCCTAGTTTTTTTTTTGTTTGCAGTTTTGGTTTAAAGATGAAACCTGAAAGAAAAGAGAAAAGAAGTGCACTTGCTGGGTTGGATGCTGATTACGTAGATGGGACATGCATCAAAACAATTCCTTCTTGGAGTTAAAAGGAGATTTCCCTCCTAATTTAGTTTTGTTATTAGCTTTAGTAGATGACGACACTTCTCTCGCATTAGTAGCTCCTGCATCAAAGACCGAAATATTTTGCTAATAACATTGTTTAACTCAAGTTCTTTATTTTAAAACACATCAAATTATACAATACTAGTATATCAACCCGTGCTCCGCACGGGCTAGAATGTTAAGAGATATATATCACTTAATATATTTGACTAAGTACTTTTATATTAAATTACATATTTTATCTTTATTTCCTTTCTATAAAATAGACATAATAGATACCTCGTAGTCTATATACATTTATCATAAACTTATTAATTACTTTTTTTTCAAGGGACTGACTTAAACATTTTTCATCCATACTCATATTTTTACTTTGCATGACACTTCTGTATATATTAAATATGGAATTCGTTTGAATCCTTGCCATTAACTACGATGGCCCTTGTTGCCTCACATATCTTATGAAGTCATGAATCTAAATTTTTGATTTTTTTAAAAAAATATTCTTAGTGACTGCTATAGTTCTTATCCTGAAATTAAAACTCTTATGCTTATTGTATCTTTTATTACTCTCCTTTTTGCACTTTTTAAAACTAAGGATTTTAGTCTGTAGTATGTTATTAAATACTAAGAAATCATTTAAAATCTGCACCATGTCACTTAAGATAAGTGATAGAGCATGAAGTGAGATCTCGGATGGGGGTAGTAGGGCTAACCTCAAGAGAAATTTAATACTTGAGTCTTATAATGATCTCCAGCACTTCTCAAGATGATTGAAGTTTCCTATCAAGAAATTAATGTGTAGTTATGGTTGTACTGTCAATATAGAGGGGTCACACATTTAGTTAAAACATATAAATATATCTAAACTAACAGCCTATAATGTATGTGGTTAGTAATATGGTTTTAAACAATTTGTTAGTATCATTAGTATATGAGTTGTTAAGGGAATATTTTATTTGTGATGAAATATAACATAAATATTTACCGCTCATGCATGCTAGCACGACTTGTATCCTTACTTTAATCAAATCTTAGTATATTAAAATTGATAGAAGTGGCAATGTAGAAACATATACATGATCTATGGTTATTTAAATAATTCTTTTAATAGAAGACGTTGATAATTTTAAGATGTAGATATGAGAAGTTAATTATTTTTTCTGACAATGAGATGAAAATTGGGTTACATAGATTAACTATTGTAATAGGAGTACATGGGTAATCAGATGCAAATTTAGATCTACTTTAGATCATGTTTCTTAATGCATATGTGGGTGGTTTAAATATAGAGTGATGGGTTACTTTATGTTCTTTTACGCAATAACAAATGTGGGTAATTATTTAAAAAATATAATAGATCCAATAGCTATTATTACCATCAATAGTGATTATTAGGTTATATCAAATTAATGGTCACGTGTTTCGGATTTTTGTGAGAACTTCTAGGATGATCTATCTTTTGTTTTTTCTATCGTGTCTCGTGAGGATTAATGTGGAGGCACTTTTAGTTAGAATTCTAGTATTTATCTTTTTTTAGCATGATATGTATTTAATCTTAAGATATATAAACTCTTGTTGCATCATCTCTCTCTGTGACTTCATGAATCATAGTTTAGATTTTGACTTTTAATTGAGTTGTGCAATTTTTCCACATGTTAAGTAGAAACTCTAGTGTTTTTTTATCTTTTATTCATTTTTCTATTATAAAGAGTTTAGACCCTAGTATTATTATTTTCCACATGTTACTTAAGTTGAAACTTATATTGCACCCTGCCAACTAAACTTGTTGAATTGGTTATACAACGTGATTATATGAGTGTAGTATTGTTTTATATATCATAGTGTTTTAAAATCAAATTAGCAATATTGATATGACACAATGTTTCAATTAAAATGTCTAAACTTATTTATAGTAATCACGTATGAAATTGATTATCATGGAGTATTAATATAATTTAAAGTGAATTGTCAGAGTTATGTTATTGCTATGTGGTTTGTTAATTAAATATTTTCCGTTCTTCATAATTATTAAAACAAAATTTTATTCTGATGTATATATGTTCACTTGGTATACATGGTGAAACATAACATTATGGTAATTTTATGGTTGTGAAGTTTGTAATTTGTCTCGTACTTTATGGATGTTGATTTATTTTTTGTAATAGCATATATTAGTATTTACATGTAGATGTGACATATATTTTTGTTTATTTTTTATAATGGCTGAGGTAGATACAAATATAAAGGTAATACTTTGTATTATCTTTCATAATGACATATAGGAGTAGGTTGAATGCAAATTTTTTACTTTGTATTTAATTACAAATATGGACAATCTATAGAATCGTTATGGTGTATTTTAAATTATCTTTTATAATGGTAGATGCGGGTAATTTATAGATACAAAGTTAGACGGCTATTTTAAATTATCTTTCATAATAGCAAAGGTGGTAATTTATATACAGTATGAGGGGTTAATTTGAATTATATCTCAAAATGATAGATGTGGGTATTTTATATACAAATTATGGGGTCATGTTGAATTATTTTTTATATTAGCAGAGGTGGTTAATTTAGATGCAAAATTAGGGGGTTACTTTATGTACTTTCATAATGGTAGAGATGAGTAATTTCTTTATATGAATTACAATAGATCCAATGGTTATTATCCACAATGATGATTAGAGTCTAGCAAATTAAAGTCTAGATGATTCTAATTATGGTGAGAAAATCTAGGATTTATCTTTTTTCTAGCGCGTCTAGTGAGAATTAACGTGGTACCTCTATTGAGGGCCTCTAATTAGTAAGGGACTTGCTAAAATTCAAGTGCCTGAATTTTAGCTTCGTGATGTTATTACATTTATTTTATGCTAAAATTATAGCTTTAGTTTGTTGCAATTTATGTAGGCATAATGTGCATTTTTTGGTTCCGAGAATAAAAGGCTGTTAGACAAAACTATAAACCCGATAAAATCTAATCTGTGTTGGCATAAAAACAATTAACGATTTACAATTGTTTCTATAGTCAGACAAAGATAAAAATTTGATGTGTTATGATACAAAGACAAATAAAAAATTATAAAAGTAACAATTTATTTGTACTAGGTGGTTGTACAAGAGTGTTGCCTAAAATTTTCTTAAAATTCAGGATCTTGAAATATAGAAGTGAATTAGTAGTAGTAAGATTCATGTGGGTAATGTAAGAGCATCTTCACCAGATTTCTTATACTCTCTCTATCCCTTAAGGGCCCGTTCGTTTAGGCTCATTTCCGACCGGAATGCTTCCTGGTGATGGTTGGACGTGTAAAATACAACAACAATCCTGGCCGTATCGGTTCCGGCACTGGGTTCCGTTGGAACCGAACGTGCCCTAAATAGGAAATATAACAGCTGCAACAAATCTGCTATCACATCGCCTATCACTATGGGCCTGTTCGCTTGTCTGAATTATGGAGGAATTTAGATGGTTTGGAGAAATGCTGGAGGAATTTGTGAGAGAAAAATACTGTTCCGGATAAAAAAATAAGCGGATCAAGTCGGGTTTAAGGGCACGCGAACGGCCCTATATCCATAAGTCTATCGCCATCTCTTCTAAAGAAAGGGAAAACCTCCTCTCCTAAATCAGGATGATGTTTTGGCAATATGTTGGATCAAAGGTGTCTTATCCTAAAGTTACTTTTGAGAGATCTAGGTTATAGGGGCGAAGAAATAGAAGATCTGAAGGAGAGCAAGAAATTTTTCAAAAAAAAAAGGAGAGCAAGAGTGCTCCGGCAGCAGTAACGGCGCACATGGCAGCAGCTCAGTGCCATGAAAACCAGGAGACAAGAACTGCAGCAAAATCTATCTGAAATTTGTAGACGAAAACTTAACTAACATAAACAACAAAATTGATCCATTCCTTTATGTTAGCTTCTTAGTTACGTGTCACTGCATTGCATATTTTGTGTCCTCTCTCACAAACTAGGAGGAATGCTCTGTGCATTGTTGAACACGTTTTCTGGATCAACCTTAGCCTTGGCGCGAACCAGCCGATCAAAGTTATGCAAAAAATAACGTTGGCCCCAGGACGCCGCCGCCTTCTGACCTACCATAGCGTTATACGAGTAGGACGCTCCAATGCCCGTG